TAGGGCACGTGCCCGTTTCCAAGATCTGACCGCTTTAGCCTGGCCAGAGGCTCTTTTGCGCGGCTGTAATGCGCCCTCCTTGATCGCCAAGGGCGGATCAGTCGTAATAGGCATAGCCTTATCAGTGGAGTGGGAGCTGAGGTGCTTAGTTTTATTTTTTGCCTTGCGTGACACAGCGTCCGCGGTGGCGGATGGGGATGCACCACAGAGGTAGCTATGTGTGTGTTACGGGCTTGGGATAACGCTTGCGTGAGAGTTTGGGCCAGCGCTTTATTTATAGATACAGCCATGGTAGTGTCCAGGATATTCTGGAATTCCTCAGAGGCCATTAAGGCTGTATCATCAGTTGTGGGGTTTAGAAATGGGTCCACAGTGGGTAACCCAGACCCTTCAGCATTATCAGTTCTGGACTGCATGTTGGTATAATCAGGGGAGAGACAAAGTGTAGGGGAAAAAGCTAACAAGTAGCTGGACACAGTAAAGAAAGCACTGGCAGGGGAATTAGAGAAATAGCGTTGAGTAACCCACACTACAATCAAATTAAACTGACTACTGCACTAAACAGTGAAATGGTTAAATATTAATATTAATATAACTAGTAATATAACTAAGTAATCAATCTGGTGTATACCCTGCCGGAGGAGCCTGGAGCCGTCATCCAGCGATGGAAGGAGAGAAATCCCACAGCCTTCCCGCCTGTGCGCGCTTTCAGCAGGGAAAGCGCGCCACCGGCCATAGCCGGCTCCTCCCCTCACAATGGCCGCGAGCGCACAGAGCTCGCGGCCGTTGATAGCGTGTGAAAAACTCTGCCGCACTGAGAGGGAGAAAAACTCCCGCGGTTCTCCCGTGTGAAGGGGGAACTGTCGGTGTCTGAATGCGGTCAGAAACCGCGAGGCAAGGGAAAGGGAGGGAAATAGGTGTGGGCAGAAAATTCCCAGGGGGTCCCTAACACCACGGGTATTTCAGTGAGGGTGGTCTGGATATACACCATATACAGACATAGCGGTAAAACAGAATATCAACTACAATAAATTATCATATATATAAGTATAATCTGCAGTGAGAAAAATTTGGTACTTAACTCCTGAGGGAGCAGCAAGAAAGAGGAAGAGTGACAGATGACAGCCCCTTTTCATATGGACACTGTGACATGATTGGCTGCCACTGTTTCTAGGCAGATTATGTTCATGTTTAAAGTTTTTTCCTATTTTCTCTCAAAATTTCTTGCTGCTGAGGGAATAAATAAGAAAGAGATTGCATATATACGAGCCTCCGTGTCTATAATAAAATTGAAAATGAAACAGAAAAACAAAAATTAAATAAAAGTATATAAAATTGGTGTGTGATATATATCTATTTGTAGGGAGAGGGTATTTGTTCTATAGGGTTAAGAGATTGGAAGGGTGTGCTGATTAGTGTTTGCACCTGTCATTTCAGGATATTGAAAGTTGTGTGGGAGACTATTTATAAATGAGGAAAAGAGCATGGGGTGGGTGGGCGAGGGGTAGAGTGGGAGGGGAATCAGTCTTCCAGAAGGCTACCTGTTGCAAATGGCAGTGGAACAGCTGATTGAGCTCTGAGTTCTTTGCTGGACTGGATATGTTTAAAAATCAGACTGTGGGAGAGAGATATATATTAAGGTCAGATGGGCTAAGAGATGGGGGGATGCATAGATGGACATTTGATTTAAGGTCATTTAAGGAAAAACAAGACAGAGGTATTTAAGTAGGGAAATAAAACCATTAAACAAAGAACAAGAAAGATATATGGGCCTAAGTTGGTTAAACTAACTTTTAACTTGATGGACAAAGACAAAGGTGATAAAATACTTTATCACTTGGTAAGAGATTTTGCAAAGCTAATAAAGCCTGTAAAAAATAAATAAACAGAAAAATAGAAAAGGGGGGTGGAGGGTGGGGAGTGAGTATGTTTCCTGCGGGCTAGAAGGGAGGGATGAAGTTACTTTCCCAAGATACCTGAGTAGCAAGCTGTGTCATTATCTACTATTTAAGACTGCTGAGCAATACAATAGTATAACACATAGCGATCTCATGAATACCACCAAAGTCATCAGCCAGTGGCATGGCACACAACTAGGATTGCATTTATATAACCCTATCTTGTGACAATTGAGGTAATACTGGTGTGTTGCTAAAGGAGCAAGGGCACAATTGGATATGTCAACAACTCTCAATATGTTAAGAAAGAGCAGAGTAGATAACCTATCGATCCAGGTGGCTCTCATGCTGTTCTGGAATAGAAAATGTGTTTACAGCTATCTGCATCCAATAAATGGGTAGATCACAAGCTCTGTCTATTGGACAACCAAGAAGCAGTACACCTACTCCATCGGAGCACTAAAGATGACTGCCCCCCGTCCTGCCCAAATACAGTCATGTATGGGTAGGCGGAACATAACCAAAGCAGCCTCCCCAAATACATCAAAACTTCTAACATAACACATCTCTACACACATCACACACAGATGTCCACACACATGACACACAGCTACCCAAGCAAAGCTACATACACCATTCAGAGCAAATATGGTCTGTGCGTGTGTATGGGGGAAAAGGGGGGAATCAGGCATCTGAGAAACTCTTGGACCAGTGATGATTGCTGAACATAATATATTACAAATAATAAATGAGCCACTGAGTTAATTTTATAACTGTGTAATGAGTCTACTACCTCAGCCCTATATATAAATTAAGTCCTTGTCAAAAAGGTTAATAATCACTGCACCATTTTGTGAGGTGCTAGTTTGCCTCTGCTTTAAGTGGAAATATACAACATGCTAATATTCAAGCATAATCTCAGCTGTGATGGCCCTATTTCACATTTCTCCCGCCTTAGCATTTCACAGAACTTATATGTTAATTATTTATTTAAAATGGCCCGCATGCCTGCTACTACAACACTCTTATTTCTGGTGATAGAATAAAGAATGTAAGCAGTGATACAATGCTATACACATGCATAATATTATGTCAGACCAATGCAAGAGGCAGCTCTTCAGCACAACTTTGTTAAAAAAAGACATTTAGAAACATTGGCCCACACTTCTGTGGGACCAAAGCAGCTCTGCCATATATATTTTGTGTATTATAAGGTTACCCCGTATCTTTTTTTTTTCAAATAAGGATTTGAAAAGTTATACATAGAGACTACTTTTCCTTATGTGGAACCTGCAGGTTGACAAAACACCAAGATGGCAGCTCTATGAATTAAAACCTGGCTGGACCAATAGGATCATGGGCCACTAATAATCATTGGGGAGGAGGGGGAGCTGGGTTTTGAGGGGCCGAAATGAGGGCTGGGAAAAGGAAAGGAGAGAAAGTAATAGAGATACTTAACATGACTGAATATTATATAAGCTTAACTTATATATCAAAATGTGGAAGTTTTTTGGAACAAATGTAATTTCTTCATATTTAGCAAAGAAAATATTTCTATAGAGATCAACAATGCATTTTCACGGCAATATTAATCTAAATCCTGATTTTTCAAATTATGCCATTGATCATTGTGCTAGTTAGATCTGTAGCTAGATCTGTAGATTAGCAGATGCTTATTGATTATCATTTGCAGATTTTAGATCAGGTTTCACAGATGGCCCCACGGATATTCCGTGCGCTCCAGTATGCACACCTGACTATGCAGTCTACTTGTATTACTTTGTTCTTGGGCACACTGCAATAGTCTTTGAGGAAGTACCATAAAGGCATGCAATTCATAATTCAGGGATTTTACAATTATCATGACGGAAAGTCATGATTTTATTAAAGACACGGAGGCGAGTATTATGCTGCACTCTTTCTTTATTTCCCTCAGCAACAAAGAAACATTATTGAAAGAAAACATTCAAAACAGGTTTAAACATCCTATTGGCAATGTCCGCCTAGCAACATGACCATCCAATCAGTGACATCCTTCCCATATAGTAGGCGGAGCAATGATGACCATTTCCTCTTTCTTGCGACTCCCGAAGAAAACTCAAAACGGAACAGGGACAACCAAGTAAACCAAACGAGCCGTAACACGGCATGTGATTCCAGGAGCTCTTTCAATCAGGTCACGCTAAAGAAAACAAGAAAAAATATGATAATTTCTTGAAAGTTTGGGTTGTCCGCATATACATAGGCCCAAATGGCTGATTAAACAGTGTAAGCCTTACACAAACAGTAGTAAGAGACAATCATTGATTTGAGGACAACAGAGACAAAGTCCCATCATTAGCTAATGTCCTAGATCGATGTAGGTATGTGATGGTACCACTACCGCTCAATTGGACTTACCTTGGAGAGGTCTGAGAAACTTACCTCGACCCACCTCTGGGCCGCCCAAGGGCGGGTGGGTGGGATAATACTCGCCTCCGTGTCTTTAATAAAATCATGACTTTCCGTCATGATAATTGTAAAATCCCTGAATTTTATTAAAGACCCGGAGGCTCCTATTATGCTATTTCAAAGCTGTGCTATCACGGCTTCTGCGAAATGCTGGATTGGTTTGAAATAGAAATTACGGAAAGTAGATTCTGTGGACCAATCAGCCGCCTTCAAGATATCCTCCAAGCGACAACCCGCAAAGGAGGCTTTAGAGGCCATGGCGCCCCGGACCGAATGAGGAGAGAATATGGAGGTATCAATACCTGCTAAGGACATGAGCCATTTGACCCAGCGTGCCAAGGTAGGAGAGGATACCGGAGCATGTGGTTTCCGGAAGGAGATGAAGAGTTGGGGATCTGACCCAGACCGAAGGGGTGCAGTACGAGCTTTGTACGTCCTAAGACACGCCACTGGGCAAAGGCGAGGTTTCATGGGAAAAGCTGGGTACAGGACCGACTTGGAGGACGATTTCGTCCTACGTGTTATGTCAAAAACGACTCCTTCTGGGGTGAAGGATCGGGCATTGACATCGAGGGCTCTAACGTCCGACACTCTTTTGCATGAGATTAGGCACAACAGCATAACCAGCTTAGCGGAGAGCTGTTTTAAGGATAAAGACTCATTGTCTGGCCACCTAGTCAGGAATTGCAATACCAGGGAGACGTCCCATAGGGAGGAATAGCGAGGTAGGGGTGGCCTCGCAAAGCGAATGCCTCGGAGAAGACGACAAACCAGTGGATGTCGTCCTATCGGGGTTCCATCGATGCCGGTATGGCCGGCTGAGATAGCTGACCGGTAGAGGTTTATCGTCCTGTAAGCTTTCCCAGTATCATACAGGGAGGTTAAGAATTGTAGGACGTTCGTCACAGTAGTTGATAGGGGATCCACACCCCGTGCCACGCACCAACCATCCCATGTGCGCCAAGCAGACTTGTAAGACTGTCTCGTGCCGGGTGCCCATGCGCCCTCGAGAAGTCGGAGAGTCGATTGCGAAACTCCTGCGATTGACCAGGGTCCCCGGAGATCAACCATGCCATGAGGCGGAGGAGGCCCTGAAGGATCAGGGGGTGGGGGGTCCCATCGGGGTCCCGTAGGAGAGATTGGGCATCCGGGAGGAGCCGCGGGTGATCTATGGCCATCTCCAGCAGAGGAGGAAACCAAGGCTGCGATGGCCAGAGGGGGGTTATTATAACTAGGCAGCCCCATTGGCGTCGCAGATGGAGGAGGCAACGCGGGATAAGGGCGAATGGAGGAAACGCATAGTTCCTGGTGGTTGACCAGTCTTGGGAGAATGCATCCATGGCTGAAGCCGCCTGATCTGGCCTCCAACTGAAGAAGGTCGGAAGTTGGGTATTCAAGCAGGAGGCAAATAAGTCTACCGCCAGAGGACCCCACAGGTCCCCAATGCGCTGGAAGACTCGGGAATCGAGGTGCCAGTCGCTGGAATCCCGCAGGTGACGGGAGTACCAATCTGCCGTGGTGTTGGACAAACCCGGTAAATACTCCGCCCTGACAGCCATGTTGTGGTGCAGGCAAAACTGCCAAAAGTCTCGAGCCAGATTTGCTAGAATTTTGGATCTCGTACCACCGAGGTGGTTGATATAACGGACAGCCGATACGTTGTCCATCTTCAGTAGGATCGAACACTGGGACAGTGTCGGGGAAAGGCTGCGAACCGCAAATGACCCTGCTAGGAGTTCCAGGCAGTTTATATGTAGCATGGATTCTGCTTCCGACCATCGTCCGCCTGTGAAGATATCTCCACAGCGCGCACCCCAACCGTACGAGCTGGCGTCTGACTCTATGACTACGTCTGGGGCTGAGCCGAAGATGGCTCTGCCATTCCATGCCTCCATGTGGAGGAGCCACCATTGGAGTTCTTTTTTCGCTTCCGTGTCCAGAGTCAAAGTATCCTCGTATGAGGCACCGCCTCTGAGGTATGACGCCTGCAGGCGTTGGAGGGCTCTGTAATGAAGGGGACCCGGAAAAATGGCCTGTATGGAGGCCGCTAGGAGCCCGATCACGTGGGCCAGATGTCTGAGAGATATGTGTTGAGAGGTAAGAACTCGTCTTATCTCTTTCTTGATACTTCTCATTTTGGATGTTGGTAAGTACAGGGTTTGCGTGTCTGAATCCACCAAGAGTCCTAGGAACTCTATTTGTTGAGTGGGGATTAGAATGGATTTTTCCCAATTTATAATGAAGCCCAAGTTCTGTAGCAAGGTTGTGGTCCAACCGAGGTGAATATGAAGTAATGATACTGATTGGGATAGTAGCAGGATGTCGTCTAAGTATATGATTAGACGAACTCCCCGACTGCGTAAGAGAGCGATGACGGGCTTCATGAGCTTGGTGAAACACCAAGGTGCGGAGGAGAGCCCGAAGGGAAGGCAGCGGAATCGCCATTTCCTCCCTTGCCATGTGAATTGCAGGAAGTTCTGGTGCACCTGCGCAACAGGTACCGTGAGGTAGGCGTCTCTTAGGTCGAGTTTGACCATCCAGTCCCCTGGCTGGAGCAAATCCCGTAGGCAGTGAATGCCTTCCATCTTGAAGTGATGGTAGGTTACGTAAGTGTTTAAGTGTTTGAGGTTGATAACTGGGCGGGATCCGCACCCTTTTTTGGGGACAAGGAATAGGTTGCTCACAAAACCCGGGGTATCTATCGGGATTTCTTGAATAGCCCCTTTGAGTGCCAACTCTTGAACTTCCTCGGAAACGAGGGTCGTGTCTATTGGGGAAAAAACAAGCTCCCTTGATTGGGAGAGTTGGGTGGGCAGAGATACAAAGTCTATTAGGTATCCTTGGACTGCCCTGAGAATCCAAGCATCTGATGTAATTAGAGCCCAGACATGGGAAAAATGTGTGAGCCTGCCCCCTATTGCCACATGTGAAGAAAATTGAGAAAGGTAACTTACCGTAAGGACGTCTTCCGGAAGGAGTGCCTCGTGCACCTCTCAACACCCAAGGTCTACCTCGTTGAGGGAAGAAGGTCGGGACGGACCTCTGGTCGGGAAAGGGGGGTCTCCCCATATAGGGACCTTGGTTCTGGCGCGAACCTCTATTGGCTCTGCCGGACTGACGGCCCCTTGCTCTGCCGGCCCCACCAAAAACCTTTGGGTGGAACACCCGCTTTAGATTAGATTGTGCCCTGTCTAAGGCCGTGAATGTTTGGACATAGGAGCCCAGGTCTTTGACAAAAGACTCTCCGAAAAGGAACCCTTTAGCTTGGGCTCCCGGCTCAGTAATTGCCATGTTTACAAGTTTAGGTTCGATTTTAATCAATATTGATTTACGGCGCTCAGTAGCCAGAGCCGTATTGGCATTGCCTATGAGGCATATCACTCTCTGAATCCAGCCTCTAATAGTGAGGCGATCTAAGGCTTGCCTCAAGGATTCCTCCACGGCTTCAAAAATTTTGGTCGCTGGACCAAAAATATCCAAGACTTTATCTTGACAATTATAAAGTGAGAAGTCTAGACCCTTCTTGGGTTTCCAACTTGTTTTACTTAAAAATTGAATAATTTTGGGGTCAACCTGGGGTGTTTTACAGACTTCGTCTGGTACGGTGGGACGTGGGCATTCGGCCCTTAGTTTGTTACGAGTTGCCTTGTCCAAAGGCTTACGGACCCGAGATGCGACGTATTGCGCCACATGCTCAGCCGGTGACCATTCCGCAGAGCGGGGGTGACGTAAGTCGTCGGGTTCGAACAACGGATTTTTCCCTCTTTGGTTAAGTCAGAACTGGGCATGTCAGAGGGAAGTATCTTAGTGGAGGGAGTACACTCCTTAACAGTTCCATATTCCGAATCTAAGTCGGACAAATCGTTAGACTGATCTGAGTCTAGGGCAGGGGCACTCTCCTCATCTGAACTGAGTTCTGACTCAGTCGAATCGGGCTGGGCTTTAGCCCACTTCCAATGTCTAGCCGTTTTTGCCCGGCTAGAGGCTCTTTTGCGCGGTGGTTCGATATTCGCGCCATCTATGACAGGTGTTATGCTGTCCATCACAAGTTTGGAGGAGTGCTTGACTTTAGCCAAGGCTTTGCGGCCGAGGCGTGGGGGCTGAGAAACAGATGGTTTCGCGACTGGCACAGTCGGAGGGACCATTAATTGGGCCTGTAGTAATGCTTGGGTAAATGATTTTGAAATAGAGGAGGACATAATGTCCATGGCAGATGCCAAAGCTTTGGAAACAGATCTGGATACAGTATCATCCATGATGGCTTGGATTTCCCCTGATGCTGGGAAATCCACCTCATCCCCAGAAGCTACAGGGGGAATATCCAATAACGTTTGGGGGTTAGCTGGTGCCTCTGAGGGACCAGGCAATTCATTAGAGGACTGCATAATGTATGAAAATATCAGGCAAGATAAAGGCAAGTTTATTGTGAAAAACAGGCAGGGTTGAGTAACCCAGCAAATAGTACTCACTAAATTACCAAAGTTATGGGAGCAGGAGAAAAGGGGAACCGTCCGCCACAACACTGAACGCCAACTCCGACTCGAGGGACGGAGTGGGCGTGACACAGTAAAAAGGGCGCGAAAGCGCCGTTTAAAATGGCCGCCGGCGAAATTCCGGCTGGAAACGGGCTTCCCGCGGTGTGATCAGTGACCGCGAGGAAGCCGGCAGAGGTGTACAATGACCGGCTACATGCAACAGTAGCGGTGATGTGCGGCTGAGACCGCGCTCGGTGGTTGAAACCGGAGCGCGGATACAGTAATCCAGCCGCAAGATGGCCGCCGGGGGCGTCCCTGACGGGTTGCGCATGCGCGGCGGAAGAAGGCAGTACCCGGAGCCGCGACCACGGCGGATCGCTCAAAGAGAATCTCCCTAGGACTTGTAGTGTCCTAGGGAGTAACCAGTGCAGGCAGAAATACACTCGGAGAAGAAAGCATAAATGCTTAATTAAGCTGAGCAAAGAAAAGCACCATATGCTAATAGGTACAGAAAATAGTCTGTAATCATCACATATGTATGAGACATATTTGCCTTCAGTAAATATAACTAGCATGCAATAATAACAGACATATAATAGAAAATATATAATCCCACAGCCAGTAGCTGAGAGAGTTGTACTTATCTGAGGGAAAGCAGCAAAGAAAGAGGAAATGGTCATCATTGCTCCGCCTACTATATGGGAAGGATGTCACTGATTGGATGGTCATGTTGCTAGGCGGACATTGCCTATAGGATGTTTAAACCTGTTTTGAATGTTTTCTTTCAATAATGTTTCTTTGCTGCTGAGGGAAATAAAGAAAGAGTGCAGCATAATAGGAGCCTCCGGGTCTTTAATAAAATTTGGTTCATCATTATTTGACTCATTAATAAAGCTTCAATTTATCAACCTTAACAATTGAAGCAATTTACAATACTATATTTATAATAATACTAATTATTATAATAATAATGATAATAATAATAATAATTTAGAATAATGTGTATATATATATATATATAATGTGGATTTGGTGTTATATTCTGTTATTCAGAAGGATGCTGGGTCTTACACATGTATATACTGAACATCCATGTGTCTACATGTGAGGTCAAAGTGGACAGTGGAAGAGTTTGGTATGTATTGTTTACTAATTAGATTTTTGTCTTCGTAGTTATCATTGGAATTTGTCTCTTTTACATTATTAAATCATAGTCTTAAAAGCAAAAATCAAGCAAAAATTTAAACTAACTGTTTTCTGTAAAATAAGCCTCCATTCCTCTCTTGGGCATCCATTCAGCGGTTGCTAAGAAACTGATCTTACTATGCAGACCTATGTAGTAGTACTACAGACAAAATAACCTCTTGAATCATAGGCATTCAACTACTTGTATTGAGAATATAAACAGTATGCTACAAATTATAAAAGG